TAGACTGCAGAAAACCGTTATATAGTGCTATTCAAACTTTCTTGTGAAACTAAATTCATATCACAATATTTATCGGAGGAAAATAAAATATTACAATTTCAGTTTTATGCACCAATGTGCAGCCCAACAATATACTGTATATAACTATACACTATATACTGTTTATACTATACCGTTGTTTGTATACTGACATTTAAGGGAGTGTCTGCTGTTTATCGTATGATATTCGCTGTTGTTATTGAGAAAAAATACAATAAAACGACACATCGCGACACAAAAATAAAACAAAGCCATATTTGATCACTTTGATGTTTTAAAACCTCTTGTTTTTTTGTCCTTGACCATATATAAAATTATTCGTTGCCAGCAAGAGCTATACAAATATTTCACAGGTAATTTTTTGTAACTATGCATATAAACAATTATTTAACAGGCAACTGTCAATAATGTTGGCACCAGGGTTGATTCTGATGAATATAAGACTCACTAAATGTTTATTGCTGTTTATTTTCCATCAGCCTTTGGGGTAAATTCTTTACAATAATGTTACAACTCATCCCTTTTTGAACTCCCTAGACTTGCCTCATTTTTTAGAGTTATATAATTGTTTTGCACATCCAGCCAAAGCTCTAGGGAAAGTTTTGATAACACTCCCCTTTTGATCTGACTTACTTTTTAACATGCAAGTGAAAAGTTTTCAGATGTTATATAACAAATTAAATGAGTTTCAGATGATAGCAATTACAGCATTCCAACATTCAAATAACATGATCGTAAATCAGTTAATCAACTAATATGGAAATTTGCTAAATTTGTATAATTATAACATAATTATGTTTTTTAACAAGATCTCGTTTCTTAAATGGATAAACATTCTTTAAAGAACATTCTTTATTTAAAATAAACACATTTTTAAGCTTTTTATTTTTAATTTCTCATTCAACTGTTTCTTCAGGGATTTGTTCAAGAGTTTTCAAAGAAATTTATTCTACAAATAACCAGTATTTACCACGTTGGACGGGCACCATGTTAAGCATTCTGCTTCTTTCTCAATTCCTTAATTTCATCAAATTTCCGGCTCTTGAAAGACGTATAGTGAAAAACAAAATAATATGATCAACATTCAATTCAATTCACTTTTCTTTGTATAGCGTTTTTACAATGTAGATTGTGTCAAAACAGCTTCTTATGAAATACCATAGTAAATTGAAACAGTGTACTTCAGTTTTCAGAGTTTAAGTTCAGTTCAGTTTAGCCAAAGGTGACATTGGCGACGAAACAACTTCACCAATTGGCGAAAGTGAAGAAAGTGAAGAAGAAGAGAAATCAGGCTCAGTTGGGCACGGCAATACTGGCCAAACGTCTTGTGCAGAGCTGCAGTCTAGGCGCTGAAGGCAGGGAGCTGGACCTCAGCGAAGATTCGTCAGTCCCTGGAGCGTCACAGGAATCAGTCTCCTGCTCTCCACTCCTCCATGACCACCTACTGTGTAAATAGATAAATCAGTTTGATAGATAGATAGATAGATAGATAGATAGATAGATAGATAGATAGATAGATAGATAGATAGATAGATAGATAGATAGATAGATAGATAGATAGATAGATAGATAGATTAGTTTGAAAAAGGATAGATAGATAGATAGATAGATAGATAGATAGATAGATAGATAGATAGATAGATAGATAGATAGATAGATAGATAGATAGATAGATAGATAGATAGATAGATAGATAGATAGATAGATAGATAGATGCATGCATGTCTGTATTAGTTAATTTATTTAATTCTTTGTTTGAGTTAATTTTTTTTTCATTAATTTGTTCTTCCATCCATCCATCAATCCATCCATCCGTTCGTTCGTTCATTCATTCATCCATCCTTTTATGTCTTTTAGTACTTAAACATTTGAATCAATACCTTGACCAATTCTGACATTTCCAAGTATTTCTATTTGGAGTTACAGCTAATGTTTAAAAACAAATGACTATAATAAAGCAGCTTTCTGGGAAATTTAGTTTTTGAAATCATGTGAAAAGTTACAGCAGCCATAAAGTGTCATGAATGGATTTATGCTAGGTGAAGCCCCTCACACATTTTATTGGTGTGTACATTTGTTTTCTCACACATGGTTTGTGAGCCTGACAGACTTAAGTAGGAAGAGGCTTTTTGGGGATACAGTTGGGAAGGATTTGATTGAAACAAACAGTTTGTTTTATCTGCAGTTTCAAGGTCAAATAAATGCCTGGCCATCACAGTGTTAATTATTAAAGCTGATGAACATGGCCTTCATCTGGACCTTATCAATGGAGGTAACTCATTTCAGCGAGACACGTCACACACATTGAGATTCAAACGCAGCATTTGATAAGATCGGCAGCAGATTGACACCTGAAGCTGGTTACTTATGTGTTGAACTGTCAATAATATTCATGAAAAGCATTTGATTCATTTGAATTCTAATTCAAAATTCTTGGAGAATTTAAAAATATATAAAAATAAGAAAGAAAAAAAAAACAGCGTAATATCTAAGCGCAAAGATAATACTTCTCCAGAAAAGGAAAGAGCTAAAACATGATGGGACAAGCCCTTACAATATATTTGTGCAATGTAATCCTTTAATTTTTTATATTTGGCATGCATTTGTGCTGCCTTTGTGTCTTTTAAGTGTGTGCACATATAGTGTAAGCGCCTATAGGCACATACTACTAGCACACTTATCAAAGAGATAGCTAACCCACAAATGAAAATTCTCTCATTATTTACTCATTCTTTACTTCCAACCCTGTTTGAGTTTCTTTCTTCTGTTGAGCACAAAGAAAAATATACTGAAGAAAGTTGGGGCTATTGACTTCAATTGTATTTTTGTTATGTTGTATTTTTTTTTTTCATTCTTTAGAATATCTTGAATAACAGAAGAAAGAAATTCATTAGAGTTTTGAACCACTTGTGTATGAGTAAATGATGTTTTCTGGATGATTTAAATAACAACAACAACAAAAAAATGGTGTAATTGCTTTGGTCAGTGGTGTAGTTTGTTCAGTTGCCTCAAGGGCTCATTCTAAAAGCGTAGCCCTGTATATGTTTCTGGAGATCATGAATTATGTAGCCAGAGCTACAGTATGTATGGCTGGAAACTGATCTATCTATTTATCTATCTATCTATTTATCTATCTATCTATCTATCTATCTATCTATCTATCTATCTATCTATCTATCTATCTATCTATCTATCTATCTATCTATCTATCTATCTATCTATCTGCATGCAATGGAGCGGTATGATGCCATTCCTTTTGCTTACCTGCAAGTAGATGGCTTTTCTGCTGTTACCAGTTTGTCCAGTTGCTCAACTTGTATAGTATGTCTCCATACTTGAGATGCAAAGTGGAGTTGACCATGATGATGGGGTTTGAGTTCATTGAAGAACCCCGAAGAAAGCAGGTAAGACAAAAACTGAAGCCAAAAAGTAAAATAAACAAATAAAAAACACAGTGAGAATGTGGTGAAATCTGAACACATGGTAAAAATAAGGGGGCTTTTCTTTTTCTGGATTGCTTTTTAAAACACTGTTGTTTGTGTTTAGGGAAGAGGGTGGGCTCTAGTCAATCTGTGCTTTTTAAAATACTATTGGTTGGGTTTAGGGAAGGGGGAGGGTGGGGTGATCGGTCAGTCGATTGGTCAGTCAGTCAGTTAGTTAGTCAACAGCAGCATCTAGTGGATTTATGTGAGAACAACAGGCACAAATGGCACTCACAAGAGAAATTTGAGTTAAGAAAAAGCATACATAGCAGCTTCTGGCAGATTCAGGAAAAAAAAAAAAACTCGCTCCTGGTACATATTTTGCTCTCTCCAGAAATGTATAGAGAGAAATGTAATCAGAATAAGCCTGGGTTGAAACTGAAACATGCCAAGTGTATTTCAGCACATGAGAGCATTAATAGGCTTAAATAAGCTATTTAAACAACACCGTTAAGGATGTGAAAATGATAAATTTGTCCGTTTGAACTTGCTAAATTCTCTGTGCCTCTTGTTGTTTCAGGTCTATGATAGTGTCTATTGTATGAACTGACTGAACTCAAGATGCCTTTAAGCTTTAAGCAGAGCACCAGTTACCAACGATCAGTGACCGTTTATCCAAATGTGACCAGTCAAATTAAGGTTACAAGAGTATAAACCTCTTGTTGGACAAATAAACAATCTGCCAATTCATACAGCTTTCTGACCTCTCCTCAAATTCAATTGAGGGAGATTCTTTGAAATCTGCTGCTGAAAATGTGACTAATCATTTGCTACACTTGCTCGTCTGTCAACCAAAACACAAGCTGTAAATCATTTTAGACACACACACAGACAACCTTTTATTCAACAATACGTTTTGTGTTGCAATCAAAACAAAAGTTGTGAATTTCCTGTTTTTTCAAGGTTGTCTGAGCGACCTATGATGGTGAAATACAGGTTTCTGCAGAAATTGAACTGTCTAACACTCATGTTGCATAACTAGAATACAAATGCGCAGAAGTTTACTTGCCTAAGTATGCCTAACTCTTGCATCAATGACTTTAACTCCTTAACTTCTGACCCTTTTTTATGCAGTTTTAAGATTTAAGCTGAACTCATTTTGATAAACTATATTTCATATATCACTTTCAACTCAGAAAGTGAGGGGACAGTAAAGGGGTTAAGATAGTTTAACCAAAAACACACACAAATCAAAGACCTTGAAGCTGTTTCCCAACTTTGCAATGCTATCAAAGTACAGTCTACTAGACCTCAGGTGGAGGTGTCCATGGACTCCGTTCAAGGACACACACACACACACACACACACACACATACATACACACACCTATTGGGAGTTTTTTTTTTTTCACTTAAAGGCATCTGGCACGTTTTCAGCAAGTAGCGTGGTGGGCAGTCTTCAATTATGGAATTACAGTACGTCAGAGGCTGTGGCTTGCGGCTTGTGGTGAATCATATAAAAACAGTGCTGAGGGCATTTGTCTGTATCCTCAAAGAATACAGTCAAGCTCTACTTCCACCTGATTGTGTCTCACTAGCAGTCATGATCCTAACCATTTCCTTCATTTGGGCCATAGTGGTTGGTCTTTGCTGTTGTCTTTGGCTTATTACAGGAATACGCAGAAGGTAAAAACTCACAGATTTGTGACTAAAAGTTTTGTAAAGTTTGGGGATATCAGTGAGTTTATTGAAGATATAGAATTAGTAAATTTAACCTAGAGTATGTGCCTACAGGAGTGAACTTTGTTCTTAAACTGTGGTTTGTAATTGTTTAATGCTGTGTGTTTCAGACATCCTGCAGAGCCTCCATTAGAGAATGGCTGGATTCCCTTCCTTGGCTGTGCTCTTCAGTTTGGGGCAAATCCTTTAGAGTTTCTTCGCAGCAGACAGAAGAAGCATGGCCATATTTTTACATGCAAGATTGCTGGGCAGTATGTTCATTTCCTTTGTGATCCATTCTCCTACCATGCTGTCATCCGTCAAGGAAGGCACCTTGACTGGAAGAAATTTCACTTTGATGCCTCTGCGAAGGTAAATGAAATAACATTTGCTATGCTATGTTATATGCTACAGCAATATAACTTTTAGATTAGCATGAGATGACGTGTGTGTGTGTGTGTGTGTGTGTGTGTGTGTGTGTGTCCTTGTAGGCATTTGGTCATGAGAGCATGGATCCCAGTCAAGGTTACACCACTGAGAATTTGCATCAGACTTTCCTGAAGACCCTGCAAGGGGATGCCTTGTCTTCTCTAATCGAGACCATGATGGAAAACCTCCAGGGCACCATGCTGCAATCTGGAATGTTGAAGGCCACAACCTCTGAATGGCAAAGTGATGGTATTTACGCCTTCTGCTACAAGGTCATGTTTGAAGCAGGCTACCTGACCCTCTTCGGAAAGGAACTGGATGGGGACCAGAGCATTGCACGTCAGCAGGCCCAAAAGGCTCTGGTGCTCAATGCTTTGGACAACTTTAAAGAGTTCGATAAGATCTTCCCAGCTCTGATCGCTGGGCTCCCCATTCATGTTTTTAAGAGTGCCTACAGCGCTCGTGAGAAACTTGCCAAGACTATGCTCCATGAGAACCTCAGCAGGCGTGCCAATGTGTCTGATCTCATCTCCTTGCGCATGCTTTTGAACGACACACTATCTACCTTCAACGAGCTGAGCAAAGCCCGGACCCACGTCGCTATACTTTGGGCTTCACAAGCCAACACTCTGCCTGCAACCTTCTGGACTCTGTTCCACATGATCAGGTAAGACTCATACTTAAACTGTACAGTAGTCACTTTTAAGGGTTATCAAACAGCACAGATAAATATGTTAATTGTATTGGCGGAGATAAGAATGACCTTGAAGAGTTCTTTGAAAATACTACAGACTCGTTAGAATGATAGGTTTTCTCGAAGAATATGTATGACATGTACTTATTATGATGAATGTTCTGCTTGTTTGTAGGTGCCCTGCGGCAATGAAGGCTGCAAGTGAGGAGGTGAGGCGAACCTTTGAAAGTTCTAATCAGAAAGTTGATCCTACAAATTCTCGGCTTGTACTGACAAGGGAGCAGTTGGACAACATGCCAGTTTTAGGTAGGAAACACTTTGAAAATATTAAAATGCCTATGAATTCGAAATTCTTAACATAGCAAAAGGTCACGTGAGCTAAAGCTTCCCTTTAATTTCAGACAGCATCATTAAAGAGGCGATGAGACTGTCCAGTGCATCCCTTAATGTGAGAATGGCCAAGAGCGATTTCCTTCTTCAACTAGACAATAAGGAGTCTTACCACATTCGGAAAGATGATGTAATTGCTATGTACCCACCGATGATTCACTTTGATCCTGAAATTTATGATGATCCTTTGGTGAGTATTCCGTTCTTCGCTTAGCATCTTTCACCTAGAATTGTTTTATTTTATTTCACAGGAATGACTTTTCTAATAAATGTTTATGCACTAACAGGAATTCAAGTATGATAGATACATTGATGAGAACGGGCAGGAAAAGACCACCTTTTACCGTAATGGGCGCAAGCTTCGTTACTACTACATGCCCTTTGGCTCTGGGGTGACCAAATGCCCAGGACGCTTCTTTGCGGTGCATGAAATCAAGCAGTTCTTGTCTTTGTTGCTATCGTACTTTGAGATGGAACTTTTGGACTCTGATGTGAAAGAACCGCCGTTGGACCAGTCTCGGGCTGGACTGGGTGTACTGCAGCCCACCTATGATGTTGACTTTCGTTACAGACTCAAATCTCTCTAAGTTTCTTGCTTGTATTTATTGACTGTTGGCTTGTACTGTAAATAATGTATATTTTTGAAATTTCTTAGTAGACAATTGTAAATAGCCCTTGTTGTCTTTTCTTTCTTTTTAAAGTGGATTTGGTAGAAATGTCTGGAAGTTTGAATGTCACTTTACGTTTTCAGTATCATTTACTGCACCTTTATTATGTGTATACACAGTATTTCTCATAGTTCTTAAATTATAGTGTAGTTTTCATTCTTTTATATTGTAAATTGTTTAGGAAATGTAATAAACTACACGCATCTGTCACTGTCTGTTAAACATTTTGTAAAATAATGTGCTTTGTGATTGTACTGAACTTTATTTTCAAAGTACAGACTGAATTTTTTAAACCAAACATCATAGTTTGTCTTATTTACTGGCTGTAAGGTGTTTAATTGATCTAACATTGAATTACAAACAGAAAATGATTAAGTTCTTTACAAAAACATTGAAATGATGGTTCTCTCACAGCAACTTTAAATGATACACAACAAGGTTGCATTCGATGGAAAGTTCTATATGTAAAAATGCAATTTCTATTTGTAATGGCCAAACATCTTGAAAGGAATATTAGTTAACAAAGAAAATGAGACTAAAATTCGATAAGTACAAAAAAAGTCAACATCACTACACCTCTTTATCCCCACACTATGTGCAGTTTAACAAGACTGCAAACTTGTTTAGCTTCAGCTTTTTGTGACCAAAAAGAACATCCTAAATTGACATAAATTAGTCTGCTGGTACAAGATAGCTGATTTTATTATAATTTATTTTTTTTGGAAATAGATTTTTAGCCAGGTAGACCAAGTGAAACTTGTAGTAGATAAGTAAAACAAGACCAGCAAAATGGCTTAGGCAGTTTTTTTTAAAGATATGATAATATAACTTTAAACCAGTCTGTTAAGCCTAATATAAAACAACAGAAAATAGAAAATTAGTTCGAATACAATCTGCAATGGTTACTGTTGGCCTCTTGATCAGGTAATTACCCAAAATACACTAGAAACAATTATAGTGGTGGCGGCGCTGTGGCTCAGTGGTTAGCAGTGCTGCCTTACTGTAAGAAGGTTGCTGTTTGGAGTCCCAGTTGGGCTAGATGGCATTTCTGTACGGAGTTTGCATGTTCTCCCCATGTTGGCGTGGGTTTTCTTCATATGCTCCGGTTTTCCCCACAGTCCAAACACATGTACCAATAAGATTGTGAATGCGAAGTGAATGCGAGAGTGTATGGCTGTTTCCCAGTACTGGGTTGCAGATAGATGGACATCCACTGTGTAAAACTTAATAGTTTATTAGTTGGTGGTTCTTTCCGCTGTGGTGACCTTGGATAAATAAGGGACGAAGCCGAAACACAATGAATGAAGGAACAATTTTAATGGACTGGTAATTTTACAGATTAACAGTCATTGGTTTGTAATGCATTCAGTGGTGGAAACCAATAAAACATCTCTCATAGTATCTACTTTTTTATCAATAGGGAACCCTGTTTAAAAGTATTCCTTACATAGACCTAAAACTAACAGATAATCACATATAGTGCATAGATGTATGCCAAATTGATTGTGTCAAGGGCACCTGCTCTGTTGTTGATAAGCATGGGCACATGGAATGGAAGTATTAAAATGACTCTTAGTAAACCCAGGCTGACGATACATCAGCTGTCTTTAAAGTTCAGCGTGAGACTGTTCCTCTGTGCACTGATGTGCACTTTGACCTTGACCTGATTGTGTATCTAATCTGCCAACAAGAACTACAAAAGGTCACTCTGCAAAAGGACATTAAGTTTAGATTGAACACCACATGCAAAAACTTAAATCTTTAATTGATTATGATTCACATTCATATCAGTGAAGCCATGATGTGTCATAATACAGGCTGGGGTCATGTAGCGGATGTGCAATAGTTTAATGTTAATATGTATTTCTCTTGATTAGAGTGATTAGAATGTGTTTTTTTTTACAGTGAACCTGGTGACTGTCAGCTGGCAGATGCTGTTTGTCAGTGCAAATAGTAGATGTGAATTAGCTGTTTGCTTGTGAGCCGGATAACCTTATCTTTTATAGGGCTGTAGACAATGTTTGTGCAAGACAATAAAAGGAAATGCCTGTCACGATATTGAAAATTGTAAATTGTAACAGCCATGTCAAATATTCCATGTCAACTTTCTATAGGAATTTAGTCAAAGCATTAATTATTAGAATTAATAATCAAAGGCTGTAATTGAAAAGTTGAAGTATATTCACCATTTTACACTACCATCTTCTTAACTGCCTCATAAAGATTATCTCAAGGCCACTGTAATTTAGGGTAATGTTTCAGATATAGAGTTCAGATATATGGAAATAGACTATGGAGAAGCGAAGTTTCTGCCATATAGCTAAAGGCTTTTAAAGGCGATTTTTGCAGACTGTTTAATGAGTTTACTTGCCTAACTTTTTCAATACCTGAAGACAAACATAAATAATTTAAAATGCAAATGAGACTGAAGCAGTTAGAATGCAGTTGCAAAAAGGGATTCAAATGTTTGAGGAGAAAAGTCAGCCTCATCTGGCAGAGCCAATAGTCTTTTTGTTTACCATTGTCATGTATAGTGAAACAAAAAATTAAACAACACTTTATAGAATGCCTGAATAGAATGTTTTAATTGCTGTTTTTAAAATGAGAAAGAACATTTATCAAGTTGCTAGTGTTTAACAGTGTTGCCAGTGGTTTTAATGGTTCACAGCTGATGGTTTGTAATGTTTAAATGGTATTAGTAGTGGAAACCATTAAACAACCATATTGTTAAGAGATCTGTTGTACTGAATACTTCATTTAATAGATCCTGTTATTACAGTATTGTTCAGTATTACAAAAAATATTGAAACAAAAATGAGCAAACCTTTCAACTTGTTATTATCCAATTCTATAGTCCCTGAGAGAGCTTGAACAGACTGTAAGACAAGAAACCCCAAAATGTAAAAATTCTGGTTGCCTTATATTTTTTCAAATGAATCAAATTAACCGAATGACTCTGTTAACCTTTTATTATTTTAAACTGACTTAAAACAGCTTGCATAACTTATAAATTGAAGTTAGAACATGATTAACTTAGTTCAATAAGTTACAATTAGCTAAAACATATGTCATCATGACAAATTGATTATACTTTTTTTTTTCTTTTTACAAAGGATTTCCCATTCCTGATGCCAACACTGAGAAATCAGTTTGGCTGAAGTGAGGCCAATATAATGCATGTACAGACATTAAATTGGTAAAACTAATCTTTAAATATAGTCTGACACCTAGACTTTTGTGTGCAAGGCCAACCTCATCTGCATCCCGACACTTCTGCATTAAAGGCTGCACTGCACTTTTCATTTACAGACATGGTTTTCTGCTATTAATCATCAGTTTGATTTTGATTCAATTACATTGGATTTCCCAAGCATTGTTTTGGATGAGAATATTGTCTTTGTTTAGGGATTACCTATTTTCTATTTACTTATTACCTATTTAACACTTTAAAGACGTTTAGGATCTGAATACACCAAGTGATGAAATGTTTCAGGAGTAATTTTAAGTAGTTTCAAGGTGTGCAACAGTACAGGGTCTTCGTTGTCACATTTTGCGCTTAAAAATGTGGCACACATTTTTTTATTAGAGACAAGTCGGGACTGCAGGCAGGCCAGTCAAGTACCTGTATCCTCTTCATCCACAGCCAGGACTTTGTAATGTGTGCAGAATGTGGGTTTTCATTGTCTTTGTTGAAATATGCATGGCTGTCCCCGGAAAAAAAGCCAGCATATTGTGCTCTCTACTGTTTGTACAGTACTTTTCAGCATTAATGGTGCCATCACAGAAGTACAAGTTGCCACTGACACAACCCTATACCATGACAGACCCTGGGTTTTGGACCTGGATGGCTGCTGGTAACATTCTGGTTGATCATTTTCTTCTTCCCAAAAAATATCTGAAACACTGATTCATCTGAGGTGACTCTGTGGTGCAGTAAGTATGCTGTCGCCTCACAGCAAGAAGGTTCCCGGTTTGAGCCTCGGCTGGGTCAGTTGGCGTTTCTGTGTGGAGTTTGCATGCTCTCCCTGCGTTCACGTGGGTTTCTTCCGGGTGCTCCAGTTTCCCCCACAGTCCAAATACAAGCGGTACAGGTGAATTGGGTAAGTTAAAATGTCTGTAGTGTATGAGTGTATGTGAATGAGTGTGGATGGATGTTTCCCAGATATGGGTTGCGGCTGGAAGGGCATCCGCTGCGTAAAAACCTGCTGGATAAGTTGGTGGTTCATTCTGCTGTGGCGACCCCGAATTAATAAAGCAACTAAGCCGGAAAGAAAATGAATGAATGAATGATTCATTTGACCACAGTACACATTTCCACCCTGTGATGGTCTATCCCAGATGCTTTCGAGCCCAGAGAAGTCAATGGCACTGTTAACATAGGGCTTCCTTTTGGCACAGTACTGATTTCACTGGCATTTGTGGATGTAACATATTTTGGTATTTGACAAAGGTTTGCTAAAGTAATCCTGAACCCGTGTGGTGATATCGCTTCTAGATGAATGACGATTTTTGATGTAGTGTCAGCTTCGGTTTGCACCTGGGAATTCCTCCAGATTCCTTGAATCTTTTAATTATGTTATGCACTGTAGAAGGTGAAATACCTAAATGTTTTTCTTTGAGAAACATTGTTTTTAATCATTTCAATAATTTTCTCACATATTTGTTGGCAAACTGGCAATCCTCTGCCCATCTTTGCTCTTAAAGGACTAGACCTTTTTCGGATGCTGCTTTTGTACCAAATCATGATTACAATCTCCTGTTGACATCACCTGTTTCAAATCACATCATTATTTAATTATTTAACCAGTTTACCTGATTGCTAGCCCTAAACTGCTCCTGTCCCAACTTTTGTGGAATGTGTTGCTGGTCTGAATGACAGGAAAGGATGTATATTTACAAATGAAATGAAGTTGACATTAAATATTTAGTTTTCATATTATCTGTAAGTCAACGTAAGTTTAGAAATCACTTCTTTCTTTTTTATTTCTATTTTCCATGCTGTCCCAACTTTTTCTGATGTGGGGTTATAGTTCTCTATTTAAGAAATGCAGTCTAGAGAAATTAAAGTTACACTAACTAAAAACAATAAGTTGTGATAACTAGAAAAATTATCTTGAACTGACAAGAGAAAAGTTTTAAGAAATAGAAATATTAAACTATCTTTAAATTGGGGCTGCTAAAAATAAGTTGGGGCAACTAAATAAATGAAGTTATAAGAACTAGAAAAAAATTATTTGGGGCAACTAGAATACTTAAGTTGTAAGGACTAGAAAAATTAAGTTGGGACAGCTAGAAATA